GTGCTGGAGAGGAGAAATACACCTGCCAGAGGGGAAACATGGAATGTGGCTCACAAGGAGTGCTGGCAGCAAAGTGCTGGAGAGCCACATTCCAGTTGTGCAGATTTAGTGAGGTCAAAAAAAAACTGCAAGGGAAGAAAAAAAAAAAGAAAAAAGAGTGGTTAATCCTGTGGTCTCCTGTGTGGGAAAATCTGGAGGGAGGTTATGTCCCAAAATTTCCTCTTTAAGGGGGCTCACAGCAATTCTTCACACAGCTATGGTTTTATAAATAATCAGCGAGGAAGAAAAGTAAATAACAGGGAAAAAAAAATCAAATTAGTTATGTTGGTCTTACGGGGGTTTTGAGAATTTACCCAGGCCTACGTTCAGGGCAGCACCCCTTCAGGAATCTTTAGATCAAGACAAAGATCACCTGCTTTCCTGGGGAAGAGAGAAAACAGGATTCCTCAAATCAATGGGAAGCATCTTTTGTTGGTGGGATTGGTCCCAGCTGACCTTGGCAACCTAAACCAGAAAGTCCAGTCTAATCCAGTCTTTCAGACAGCTCTGGAGTCAAAATAAGGAGGGAAGGAGGCAAGGACCCAACTTGCACTGAGTGTTTGCTGCTCCTGATGCTGAAAGCACAAAAGGGTGTCCCCAGAGCTGTCATACCCTCAAAAAGTGGGAACAACGTGGGGGGAAAAATGCATCTCAACATTCCCACAGGAAACACAAAGAGGAAATGGCACAGCCCTGTTATTTCTGGAGCTTTTCCTTAGGCTTCTGATTAAGGAACAGTGAAACTACACTAAGCTCAATTCAAAGGCTTTTAAAACTCATGAGACACAAAGAGAGGTCTGTGTGTCTCAGATCTCTACAGCTGATGCTGATAAAATGTATTTTGAGTGAGAAACACGCCTGGCAGAGCACCAAATATTTTGGCAAACAGTGGGAGAAAGAAGTAATGGCATAGAAAGAGAGGGGGGAAAAAAAACAGAGGCAGAGTTGGAAAAGTTATGGCTTAACATCTCTTTGGCTTCATTTGCTCCTGGAGAGCAGCATCCTGTAGGCATCAAGGCAGTTAATTCAGTCACAAGGGCAGCTTGTCTCCTCACTTAGTCTTTCCCAGATGTTTCATTTCTCCTGCTCTTCATGAGAGAAAAGAAAATGTTGTGTTTTTTTTTTTTTTTTTTGGTTTTTTTTGTTTTTTGTTTTTTTTTAATAGGGAGCCATTTCTCAAAATCCTTGCAACGGTCAAACCACTTTTCAAGCCCATTTTCATGAAGTAATGAAGAATTTTATTCCTGTTTCTAGCACTCGCCTGGAATCAGCTTTAATATTTTAAGTGCCCCTTCTCTGATGTTCTAATGCCCAAATTATCTGGTTATCCTTTCTTTGACTGAGCTAAATAACCCAAAGTAGAGCATGGAACTGTAGGGGCCGGGGATTTTACAAATGAAGGTGTTTAAATGCTGTTCATTTCCCATCACAGAATCATAGAATGGTCTGGCTTGGTAGGAACGTTAAAAATCATTTAGTTTTAACCTGCCATGGGCAGGGACACCTTCCACTAGCCCAGGTTGCTCAGAGCTTCATCCAGCCTGGCCTTGGACATTCCAGGGATGGGGCAGCCACAGCTTCTCTGGGCAACCTGTGCCAGTGCCTCTCCACCCTCACAGTAAAGATTTCTTTCCTGCTATCTAACCCAAACCTACTCTCTTTCAGCTTGAAACCATTCCCATCATGACAATTTGTCCAATTCTTCCGCGAGGGATAAAAAAAATTTACCCTCGTGGCTCCACTGGCAACGACAGGAGGCTCCCAGGAAGTCCATTTCCCTTGGAGCTTCTTGTGAGGGGTAGATTTACGTTCCAGACTAACACACTCCAGAACAAAAACTGGATGAGTTGCTCCAGCAGTTTCCACACCACACAAAGATGAGTTTGGAAGGGTTGGGAAGTGGGGGGAGAAATGAGTAAAAATCCTCCTACTTACAGGCAGAAGAAAAAGGAAGGAATGGAAAGAAGTGTCTTGAGGAACTGGAGTGGGAGGCAGGAATCTGCCTGGAGTGCAGGCTGATGATTCACAAAATGACTTTCCATTTAAATCAGAGTGGCAAACTTAAGGGCCTGATCTTTTGAGCAACCAGGGGCAGGGGCAGCCTGGGGCATGCAGGTTATCCTCAGCAGCTGGGGATTCAGCCACTTGATATTGTAGTGTCTTTACCCCACACCCTCCCTCACCTGTGCCAAAGGCTGCATCCATCACAGCATCATGGTCCATCAGACAAGTCAGAGTGAGGAAAGAGCTGACAGGGCACTAATAAATAAATAGTTCATAAAACATGAGTGCCTGTGCTGGTTGCCTAAGCAGCCTCAGGGAAAACAAAGGGCATTTGAATCTGTTCACTGAGCATCAGAATCAGCCAGGAAGATTCCAGCTGATGAAGCCAGGCCAGAGGGTGTGTGGGTGGAGGTGACAGGTGCTGATTCCCATTGGGGTCAGATCCAAGGCAGGATATAAACACAGCAAATGCTCCAGGCCATGACTCACCCGGTTCCCACTGTGGGCTTCAACCTTTCTCAGGGATTTTTGGGAGTCTTTTCCACTCCAATGAATCCCTGTGGGTGGGGCAGCAGCTCAGGTGCAGTTACCAGGCCATCCAAAGGGACCTTCACAAGCCTGGGGTCTAGGCGAACAGAAATATTTGTGACATCCAGCGAGGAGGAGCACAAAGTTCTGCACATCAGGTGTTGAAGGTATGAGCTGCAGTGGTCCCACCCAAGTGCCAGTGGGTGACAAAAACCTCAGTGAAGAGACCTGGGTGAAATGAACATCGGGGTGAACACGAGCCAGCAGTAAACTCTCACTGCAAACCAGGTACCAGGGGGACATTCCAGAAGCGTTGGTAGCAAATTCAGAGAAATTTATTCCCCTCCACTAGGCACATGTGGGAATCTGTGTGTGGTTTTATGCCCCTCAGCACAAGCTGGATACAGAGAATTCCAGTGGCAGGACATCAAGAGGACCAAGGTGCAGAGCACAGCACCAGAATGGGGATGCTGAGGGAGCAAGGCTTTAGTCTGGCAGAGAGAAGAGGGTGAGGGTGATCTAACAGCAGCTCAAATCTACCTGAAGAGCAATTAGAAAGATGACACAGCCAACCTCTTCTCAGCAGCTCTGTAAAAGTTTTAAAAGCAGCTATTATCCTTTCCAGAGCATTTTTACAGAGAGTTATCTATATTAATTCAAGCTAAAGATCCAGTCAATCTCTTTTAACCTTCTGCACTTGGGCAACCGGTGATGGAATCTGCTTATTAGGTGTTACCCCTTGTCTTCCTCTGGCTTTATTCAGACATAACTACACAGAAGGTATTTCAAGAATACTGTTATAAAAGTGGGGCTGTTGGTGGAATAAGAAAGTGGGCTTCTAGACCTTAAAAAAGGAGAAGTTTGTAAAAGCAAGAAAGCAGTAACAAAAAATTGTAACTGGTTAAAAAAAAATCTTCCTGGATGTTTCATAACTATTGTTTTTAACAAGGCAGGGTGAGGCTTTGTTTTTTTTTTTAATAAAACAAAGTTTTTGAAACGTCTTTTCGGAAATTGGTCACAATTCCCCAAGCAGAATGTTTCATTTCCCTTTCATTGTGGCATTAATTTCTACTTGCTAGAACTGCTGCTGTGCTTTGGAGGAAACATATTTCAGGAAAGTTGCTTGTCCTCTCTTTACTATTTAAGCTTCCCAGCAGATGGAGTCATCACAAAAATCTCCTGATGTGTCACATCAGTTCAACTCACTGACCTACAATGATGTGATGTGCAGGATGCAGTTCAGCTCTGGGAGGAAGAGGAAGGCTGCAAGAGCTGGACACAAGGAGGAATTTGTTGCTGGAAAGGGTGGTCAGACCATGGCAGGGGCTGCCCAGGGAGGTTTGGAGTGCCCAGCCCTGGAGGTGTCCAAGGCAGGCCTGGCCGTGGCACTCAGTGCTCTGGGCTGGGGGACAAGGTGGGGATGGGGCACAGGGGGGACTTGACGACCTTGGAAGGCTTTTCCAACCTCAGCGATTCTGGGATTTAGTGATTCTGCCACCACCTGCTGCATCCCTGTCCCTGGCCTTGTCCCCTGGCTGGGGCCCTTTGGTGCTGTATAAAATTTTACACGTGAAAGCTTTACACGCTAAGTTTTACAAAGCCTTGTTCTCCAGCCCTTCCCTTGCCCCACCTCCTCCAACTACATCCCCCTGGATGTTCCCTGGCCCTGCCCCATCCCCTCACCCTGCCAGGGGCTGCCGATGGACCTCGTGGGTGACAGCGGTGAGGGCAGGGCTGGCACGGGCACTTCTGCTCCCTGCCACGTGTCCTGCAGCACTGGAACAGCGGGATGAGCTCCAGCCTTGGCACCAGCACCTTCACACTCACCTGTGTCATTACAACAAGGGAAAACCCGTGCCAGGACCTTGGCACTCACCTGTGTCATCGTAACGGTGGGGGAAAAATCGGTGCCAGGCACCATCACACTCACCTGTGTCGTCGCGACGTGGGGGGGGGGGGGGGGAAACCAAATCGGTGCCAGCATCTCCGCACTCCCACGCGTCATTCCAGCGGGAAAACCGGTGCCCCCCATCTCCCCTGCGTGGCTGAACACCTGGAAGAACAGCCCCCCCCCTAATCCCATCCCGGCCGGGCTCTGCCCAGGGCCAGGCGCTGGCACCCGCCCAGCCGCTGGGCTGGGGTGGCGTGAAGTTTGTTCCCGGTGTGTGTCACCGGCCGTGCCTCACTTCCTCCCGTGGGACCGGTTAAACATTAACAGGGCGACCGACGGGCGTGTTGGGGCGGAGGGGAGGGGGGAAGGGGAGAGGCCACCCTGTCGTGCCACGGGGACAGTGCGGGACAGGCAGGTGCCCCAGGGCTGAGGGACAGGCACCTCGACCCCTGAGGGGGCTTTCCCCTGGAAACAAGGGGTGAGCGAACCCGGGAATCCTCGCTTTGAGCACCTCCAGCCTCCTCCTCCTCCTCCTCCTCCTCCTCCTCCTCCTCCTCCCGCACCCTCTGGCTTGGAAGAGTGAGCCGGACCTGTCGGCCCAAGGGAAGGCGGTGGGAGAACCTCTCGGCACACCGGGATGTGATCCAGGTAACCCCCTCCAGGAATTTTATTGGCTTCCCAGCGGAGGGAGCCGGAGGGCGAAGGGTAATTTAAGCCTTTGCCCTGCTCTGGCCCCAGCGGGAAGGCTGCCCTGGGGTGAACGGAGGCTCTTTGTGACTCCCCATCTCCCGCTCCGCTTTCCCGGCGCTCGGGATGGGCGTCCCAAAGCATCGTGTGCCAGGCTGGATCCGCTGCTATTCCTTTAGGACAATAATGTTGTTATTATCCCCCCCTTGCCTGCGTGGTGGATGAGAGAGGGCGAGGGGAGGGTGAGGGAGGGAGCAGCTCCGAGCAGCCCCGGCGATGAGAGTCACCCCCTGCACCTGCGGGGTTGAAAAGCGGGCACACCACAAACCCCGGGCATTTGATTCATCCTCGGCCAAAATATCCTGTTTCACCCGAGGATCAGATAATACCTCCCGGCCCTTCGAAAGTCCATTTCGAAACAAAGTGAAACGAAACGTTATAGAGACCTCCCTTCTCCCGCCCTGCTCTGCTTCACCCCACGCTGTTTACTGATTTGGCCCCGGATTTTGGCATCAGATTCTCTCCGCTTCATTTTTTTACCACAAAAAACAAACAAACAAACAAACAAACAAACAAACAAACAAACCACAAACACTTTGTCCAGGTCGGATTGCATGGGTGCAGCTGGATTTGAAGGTATGAAGGCTGCTCTGGCCAGGGGGGTTCTCTCCTGTCCTGTAGATCCTGCTGAGGGGATCATATGGCTTTTGCTTTTGTTTCCTGCTGCTTCACCTGGGCTGTTTCACTTCGAGTGACAGGTAATATTGACTCTTGTAACCACTGACTGATCTGTGTACGTGCCAAGAGCCATCCCAGCGGCAGAGCCAGGAGAAATCCCTCCAGGCCGTGCCCAGTGACCCTCCCTCGCCACACAGGAAAACAGGGAGAAGTGAGGGAAAGCCAAAACCTTTCCAAATGCCCTGGGTAAACCCAAGCAGGTGAAGAAAAAAACCTCACAGGTTTGGCTTAAATTGTTGCTTAGTTTATAGGGCTGTCCCTTAAGTTTTTAAGGTAAACTGAAAAGCCTGTAAAAAAAAAAAAAAAAAGGGAAAAGGTGGAGCAGGATGCCAGCTGGGCTGAGCAGAGAAGTCATTATGCCTTGCACGATGTGGTGCCACAAAGAACACCTCCCCTCCCCAAATCAGAGACACTTTCCTGACCAGAAGAAGTGTGGTCTGGCCACAAAACCACATCCTCTGAGTGCCTTGGCTTCTTTCTTGAGGTCAAGCTTTGGTTTCCCAGGGGAGAAGTTTGTAAACGAAGCAGCGCAGTCAAAGTCCCACATATTTTGAGAGGGAGGAGAACAGTATCTCACAAGTGAATCACAAACACTGAATGGCAGAAAATGCAGAAGTAAGGTGGTGGCTCACACCCAGGCTCTGTGTGTTATCTCTGACTGCAGTGGGGAGCTGCTGGTGGTTTATTTTGGGGCTTAAGGGGGCACTCTGAGGTTCAGGGAAATAAACCTGGGGATCTTCTTTGCATTACCAGCCTTTCTGAGTGCTCAGTCTGGGAAGAGAGGAGGAGATTTCATGTTTCTCATCCTTGCCCCAAGCCAAGTGAGATGGAGAGGCCAGAGTGGCAGGAGCTGTTCCTCCTGTCTGGGGTGGCCCCTCTGTGACAGGACTGCCACAGCAATGATGGCAGCAAGCTCTCCCTGGAAATGCATGGCTAGGAATGCCAGTTTTGGAGTAAAGCACACAGAAATGCATCAGAGCAACATGTGTGGGTGTATCCCTCCTGTCCTGAAGGATACCTGGCACAGGAGGCATAATCCCTTCCAAATGGAGGTCTGTGCCCCTCTGACCCCAAGGGAGTGGCTGGTGCCCTGCATGGCAGCGAGTGATGGAGCACAGGGTTCATCAGTCTGCCAGGACACCAGTGGCACATACACACACAGTTTTGGGCAGCTCAGAGAGTTATTTTTCCCAGTTGCTCATGGTTATCATCAGTGGTGAAGCTGGAGCTGCCCTGACCCAGTCAGTCCTGAAGCAGCAGTGCTGTAATAGCCAGGAGGGACTTACAGGCACAAGAGATGTGAGATCTTGTAGGAGGAGGTTTCTCTGCTGAGGAAAGTTCCTCTCTGTCTTTTGAAACAGTTACTTTGAGCAAAGATTCTGCTCTCCTTCCAAACCTTCCCTCATTTAATCTTTCCCCCCTGTTGGCATTCCAGGTCACACAAAGTCACATTGATCGCAGGACGCAAAGCAGCGACCTGATAAGTCCTTGTCCTTCAGCTTCTCCTCAAGGATGCACTGACTGCTGGTGGCTTTCTGCCTGAGGGACCAGGAGAGAATGCCCCAATGGAGAGGCTCCAGAGATCCATTTTACTTCCTCTCATCCTGACTGCCTCGCTGCCAGGTAGGGCACGTCCATAACCCGTGAAATGAGCCCCTGTGGGCTAAGTGTGGGAGAGAAATTAAAAACCCTGTAAATGGCTGTTCCTGGAGAGATCAGACTGGACAGTCAGTCCCTGAGTGGGATTGTTAAATTTGGGAAATAGATGAGCTTGCATTTCAAGCCTGAGTGATCTGATGAGTTAGAGTGGGGTTCAGTGAGCAGGATTGAGCCAGGTGTGGGGTGGGGAGGAGATGGGTACATTGCCCTCTTCCAATTTCTCCCTCTCCTTGTATTCCTCTTCCTTCTTTTTTTTTTTTTTTTTTTTTTTTTTTTTTTTTTTTTTTTTTTTTTTTTTTTTTTTTTTTTTTTTTTTTTTTTTTTTTTTTTTTTTTTTTTTTTTTTTTTTTTTTTTTTTTTTTTTTTTTTTTTTTTTTTTTTTTTTTTTTTTTTTTTTTTTTTTTTTTTTTTTTTTTTTTTTTTTTTTTTTTTT